GCACTTCACTTCTTACGAAAATGTACGAAAATGGCTCGATGACTGGTTTGCCTTAAAGGAGCAACAGTTTTTTTGGCGTGGCATCCACAAATTGTCAAAGAGATGGGAAAAATGTATAGCTAGCAATGGGCAATACTTCGAATAAAATATTTTTTATCATTTTCATACAATAAACGTGTATTTTCTGTACAAAAATTCCGGTTTTGTATTTATATACCTGGTATATATATATATATATATATATATATATATATATTATTATATAATACGCAGATTGTAACAGAGAACGTTTGTATCAGAGGGGAAATACGCATTTTAATGACTTATAAAGACTAATGCTTAATGCTAATGATTTTACTTAATGACTTATTATAATGACTTTTTCTAACTTTATTATTTATAATTACAAAATAACTGTATGGTAACACTTAAACCAAAAACACTACACACACAGACAAACAGGCACACACAATATATATACATATATATCAGCAAAGCATTCTATATATAAACTCAATTTTTTTAAGCATATTTTAAATTCTTAATTCGCAATAAAGAATGTCTTATGAAATATAAAACATTCTTTATAAATATTAACTTTAAATTATATTTTTTTGACGTGTATTTCTTATTTCTTCTTATATCTATAGTCAAATTGAGTGGATAGTGCGTTCTGGGAATGATGATTTTGCTGAGTTAAGTACAAAGCAACTTATAGAAAAACGTATTTGCTCTATTCATTTTTTACCAAGCGATAAACACACTTTTACATCTGGTAAGGTGACGCTTATAAGTACAGCAGTACCAATTGATGCAAATGAGAATAATAATGTTAACTCGGAGATTGTTGATAATTTTAGAGATGAAATAGAGGAACCAATACCACAGACATCAGATTCTTTTAATCAAAATAAATCTTTAGCAACGTCTGAAACTGTAATTGCAAAAGAAACTGTATTAACTCCGAAAAATATTTCAACTCATTGTGTGAGGAGATTTATACTTTGTACAGTTAAAGAGAAACGTCTCAATACTCAAATAAGGAATTTACATCGTCAATTAATTTTAAAAACTCGAAAAATTAGAAAAATGAATGCCATCAACTCACAACGAATTGCTATAATTATTATCTTACAATATAGGATATTAGAATAAGAATATTTATTGTGTTACAGATAATTAATTAATAAAATACATACATTACATATATGTATAAGCATATTCTATCTGTATTTTGATTTCGTGATTGATACAGAATTATTTTATATATAAAGTATTATACTTATGTTTTTTCATAATTTTTATTTTTTTAATCTATATTGTTTTTTTATATTGCATTTCATGTTTAAAAAAAAAATATATTCTAGTAAATTTTTAAACAATTTCACAGTTGTCTTCTGTCATGATTGCGCAAAATATATTATGTATAAACGAATTAATAAAATCTGATATATATATCTTTTATAATAATTAATTCCGGTGTTAAAATTTAAATTGAATGCTCCGATATTATTTATTATAGTATTCTATTATATTATTCAACGTTATAACTTCAAATGAACTTATAATGAACTATGATTGAATTTTGAAACTTGATTCATACTGTAACGAAATGTCATTGACATCAAGATCTCCACAACAAGTTCGTATTAGTAACATTTGCTTGTCCGCTCTTTGACTATCTTTTCGCCGACTGGAGACATAAACCTGAGAATCGAGCGTCCAATCTTATTTTTATCAGTCCCTGTATATATATATAAAATTTTCATATAGTTATACTGTAATATACTTCCTATTTCTCTCACTCATAAATTAATACATCACACAAAATATTACAAATTAACGTTTGATTACTAAAATTATGTAATTGAATACATTTTTAATAAACTCAAAATAAATAATTTTCTCTGCACATTTGTTCAAAATCGAATGCAAATAATTACTAATAGCAATTAGCCACGATAAAGACCACTACAATAAAGCCCCGATTAATCGCGCTCGAAATTTGGCGCGTCAGCCGCCATGTCGCGCGTCGCTCGGCTCGCGACAAATAGGAGCGCGCTTCAACAGCGGCGCTACGCGAATCGCGCCAGGCCCGCGGCATCGCTCGTGCCTATCGATGCGGGACACGCAGCGGTCACCCGGGAGAGCCTAAAACGACAAACAAAGTCTAATAACAACGTTCAAATTTTAACTAATCATCGAACATAACAACCGACGCGAAATTTAAGATAAACACGTAGAAAATTCTAGAACACAAAAAGGACGTTTGTATAAAAGCTCTCTCGGGGAACCGCCGGGCGCACTCGATCGAGATTCGTCCGTGACAGTGTGTGCTTATATCGTTTAACTGCTCGCAATAGAAAAGTCGCTCGCTTTTCTAATTCGTACGCTCGATTACGAAACGCGAAGTTCACGATTATCATAAAAGAGATTTCTCGTTGCTTGCGAGTAATCTCTCGTTGTTAAAACCGCGCCGTTTATTCCGTCGCTCGCGGAATCGCGCCGTTTATACCGTCGCTTGCGGTATTCGCGATATATCCGTCGCTCGCGGAGATTATCGTTGCGCTCCCGGTCGCTCGCCGGAGCCCGACACGGGGAAGATTAGCTTAAATCTTCTCGAACCAAATCTTTTGAACTATTTATTGTTTTAAATAAATTGACTGCTTTTCACATAACGCTTTCGTGTCCATTTCACGCGATCCTCGCGCTCCCGCGTTCACTCGCGCACAACATTAATATAATAAAACATTTAAACATTAATGTATATATATTTAACATTACATTATATTATAGAAATATCTATTATTATTATATTATATACTTAGATCTATTTTTATTTTTTTTTTAAATTATCAAGAGACACGGTAGTGTCTCGCTCCAAGTCACGCGCAGCAACAGCGAGGCACCCCGGGTATCTATACGCGAGTCGGCTAGTTAAGATACATTAGATTTATTGGACCTCAATAACGGCTGAACTGATCGTATTTTTAATAGGCTTAATCGATACCTTGGGTTTAAATTATATAATAAAAGTGTCTTTATCTGTTTTCTACATGTATCGTGAACGGAGGTATATGAATGCAAAGTCTCAATGTGAAAATTTTCTTTTAAGAAACGTCCACGTCGTCATCATTCACGCAAGTCCCCAATGCGCATACGCGAATCTTGTACGGTTGGAGCCTTCGACATAAGATAGCACTCG